TAGTCATGCATTAAGATATCCTGAAATATGATATAGAAAAAATTCATGAAATCACGCGCATGCACGTGTGCTGCAATCTGATTGGCTGAAACTTTATATGGCTATATCTCCTTTGTTTTTTGACGAAATGTTTGGAATTTTAAAATATAGTCATTCATTTAGATATCCTTCAATACGATAAAGATAAAAATTTATGAAATCACGCCCATGCATGTGTGCTGTAATTTGATTGGCTGAAAGTTCAAATGGCTATAACTCCCTTGTTTTTCAACCAACCAGGATGGAATTTAGAACATAGATAAATATAAGGGACTCCTACAAGAAGGTGTAGTAATTATGAACGTGCTTGCACGTGCGTGCAAGTTAAATGAGTAAAATCAAAAATACACTCGAATGAGTGAATTTTTTAATACTTTTGGATTAAATGCTTTAATATTAAGTATATTAAAATTTGAGATAGTGTAGACAAGATAATATGGTCGTTACGCACATGAACGCGCGTGCAATGCCTATTTTTAAATATATTTTGTATTTTTCTGGGAAGACCTTGATTAAGTCTAAATTCCATAAAGTATTTCTTATCTAATAGAGATTACAGGGAATATGGCACCAAAAGGGAGTTGGGGAGCGTTTGGGGAACATCTGTAACGGTCCCCGTTACAATTAGCACTAGTTATATAATTAAGATACACCGTACATGAAAACAATGCATCAATATCCATGTATCCCTACTACAGTCATAAATTTTTTTTTAGTTTTTTTTTAAATTAATTTACCATTTCCATCACTAAAGTAACTTCAATTCTATTTAATATGGAATAAAATAAAAATGGATATAAAAAGCAATGATATATTTGAACTTAGAAACCAAAACAAAATAAATATTAAAACTTACCTTGTATAGGTAAACAAACTCTAGACACACAGTAATATCCAGAAGGACAGAAACCCTATCAATGACATTTAGCTTTAAAAATCATGCCTTTCCGTTTTCCTTCAAAATTTTACTGAGGAAAATCAAGAAATATCACTTTAAAAAAATGTTCATTGACTCCTCAGGTCTTTTTTTATTGAAGTCTTAGTCTTACAATATTTTAATTATTATGGTTGTTTCATTTTAACTCGATATAGTTTCCTGAAGATAAAACAAAATTTTATCTAATTTGTCAAAGAGTTAAAAAATAATAACCATTCTCTCTCTCAGACTCTCTCTCTCTCTCGTTAAAAAAACACATACTCACCGAAAATCCGCATAGTTCCCCTGAATGAAAAAAGTAACAGAATAGTAAATTAAATGGGAAAATAATTGAGTTGGTCATGTAAAAAAAATATGCAATGAATGCACCAGACAAGAATATATACCTGGAATATTTGGGTTTTAATTTCAACCCAAAAGCAAATTTTGGAATCAAGGCAAATTAAAGAAAAAACTCAAATAAATTAAAGGGATTTTGTTTTTTAGAAATCAGTGATGTATAATTAATTTTACGATTAGCTGAATTTCTAATCATGGAGAATCTTAATAAATGTTGTTTTGAACCATGCAAACAATTATGGAGTTACCGATTTTGATAACGAAATATTTTTTCTTTAGTTTCTTAATTTCATATAATAAAACTTGAAATCATACTTGGAAATTTGTAAAAATACTCTAAATAATGTTACCTTTTCTTCAACCATTTGGTTTTAGAAAATTGATATTTCAAAATAAATAGATGTTAATGTACGTAAAACTAAATGTCTGAAGATTTAAGTCCCGATAGTCTTCATCAACCAGCAAAAGGTATACTGAGATTTTTAATCCTGTCAGTGAACAGCAAAAAATGTCTTTGGCATTGTAATTGGTTAAAATTTAATTATAAATTTATTTATACCTCGTTATTTCAAAAACAGATTTTGATTCGGTGATTGATCTAATATCGGTGTCGGCAAACTTATAATATATATTACAACAGCGTTGATGGCCTCACTTAAGATTAAGATGTGTCGTAAGACCGTGTTAAGATATGTCTTAGTTCTAAGATAGCATCATAAGCATGCCTACTGGTCTTGAATAATAAATTTTTCATGTAAATATTTTGGTCGCCCACGTGGCTACGTGGTTTGAGCATGCGATCTAGAGTAGCGGAGTAAGGATCGAGTTGATCCTTATGTGCAGTGGGAGTATACATCGTTGCCTGCGCCAATTTAGCCGCTAGAATATGAAGCCCGTTTTTTAAGTACACATGTGTTGATTTCGACGCCTGGCCTAATTGTGGTAAATAGTAACACCCACTCACAGTACCCATTTCACTGACCATACGTTACGGCAATGGTATATCAAGAATAATTTACACTTACATATGGATTTTTTTTTCCAAAAAAGGAGCTTAGGGGGCGTGGGGGATGGCTTGTGAATATTTGACGTTCAAAAGAGAAATCTCTATTGCAACAAATATAGCAATACTGCTATAAAACTATCAATTATAAATAAATCACATACTGCATCTTCTTCTGTGGCATGTTTGACCATCGGGGCAATTGAAATTCTGCAAGAAAAAATTGATTTATATTTTAATTAATATTTTTATATCACTATCACAAATTAACATAAAGATGACACAGAAATGAGTTTGTCTCTTTTGAATGCATTCAAAGTATCATACTCAATGCAAAATGTGAAATTAAAAACAAACAAACAATAAACCTATGTATAAACAATTACAAATCAGTATTGACCAGATAGACGGAACGTTACGTAGTCAAGTTCAGCATAGATACATCGGCGTTACAACTGGTACCGATAAAGTCAGTCAAAGCACGACCGATAAGAGATTTTTATAGCTAAAAAATTCTATGATAAGAAACTTGGTGTTTTATTGAACGCTGAGCTTGTAAATACGTATATGCGTATACCCGAAACATTCCCATTCCAATGACGAGCCCCGGTGTAAACCAAAAATATTGTTTGGTCAACCTCTCAACGCCAAATTAATGATAAGTAGTGTCAGCTAGGTAAAATGTGTTTATTTTTACAAAAAGTTATTTTCACAAGTGTTTTAAAAACCTTCCATTTAAGCCGTTTTTTTTTTTGGTCGCTCACATCAAGTATTATTTCTTGAATTTTTGGATTTATGCTTTTGGAATGTCGATTAAAAAATTCCATTCCGAAAGCAATGTCTTTGAAAAACATGTATACGCTAGCCCCAAAATAGTAGTAAATATATAGTGAGTTTTCGGATACCATTTCTAAAACCGGGAAAAGCATAAAATACAAGTAATAATATCCGACGTGTGCAACCAAAAGACCGATTTTACTAGGAGCATGCTCTTGAGTATCAAATAAGACGATAGGAGGTGTAAGAAAATGTTTAAAGGATATAATTATATAAAAAAGGGGGAAGTTGACGATGTAAAAGTTAACGTCATTTACTTTGTCGTACAATATAGTAGTTGACCCTTACTGTCTAAAGGCAGTAACAAATATGGCATATTCTGTGGTGTCTGTTATTTCATTCTTACCGTGATGTAACAAATAATCGTCGGTAAGCCCACTAGTTCAAACCAAAAATTAATAAAGAAAAATGAAATTTTAAATTAAAAAAACCAAATTATTAATTGAAAAAAAAACACAACAAAATTATAAAAGAAAGCGAAACTGAGACTAAAATACGATATTCATAGATGTGCATGGAAACATAACCTGAACCTTTGAATAAATTCTTTATTTTTGATTTGCACTATTGGGCTTCCGTATATATCTCTCATCAATAATTGCAAAAATTGCATCCTAAAGCTACATGTATACATGTATATGTCGTCTCTGAGCTAAAAATAAAATATGAGATTTAAGTGTTGATTAAAATGATATTTTCTTCTTAGTTCAAATTAATTTTTTCACCGATTTTTAACTTAAATTATCCCCATTTTTTAAAGGTTATATTGACTTTTTAAACTGTGTCTGATATTTTTATCCGAGTGGGAAATAAGGATATCCATGAAACGCGTTTAACTATATTTTGTAATTTACAGGAAAGACCTATTCTTATATAGAGTACCAAAAACAAATAGAAAGATCTTTTTAATTTGAGTTAGTCTGAACATATAAAAAATACGCCATATATGACTTGAAATATACCCTTCAAATATGCTATATGAGCAAGTTACTATGTTAAATCATGTAAGATTGCATTTGACCTTTCGAAAGATTGTTCATCCAAAAATTTGAAGTTTCTATAACATTTAGATAAACTAAGATTTTTAATATATTTTCATGTGAAATGCTATTACAATATATTAATTCATGTAAAATGCTATTACAATATATAAATATTAACTTCAAATCTGTGTCTATGCACCTTTAAAAGTTTAATAATAAACATTCAGAACGTATACCCAAGTTTGTCATATGCATGTATGTGTTAAAAGATACCACAAAACAAAGAAAAAGAGAATCTTACTGTCTCAGATTAGAAGGTTAGTTTTGTGATTAAAAGTAAACTTGTGCCATGCTATAAGACAAAGACGACGGCTATATTGTATATACTTACTGATCTGCAACCTGTGAAACAAAATCATATAACATTTAGATAATAGATCTTCTGAAAAAAAATATGCTCTTAAGCAAAAATAATTGATGTATTTCTTGTAACTTGAATAATATAGCAACTTTACAGTAATGAATTCTATTATTTTGTTTTTGGTACCGTTTTACTTAATGATATCGTTCGATGCAAAACATAAATTAACAAAATTTAAAAAAAAATACCCTGGCTTTCCACAATTGCAGGTGAGTATTCAAAATATATCTTTCAACAGAAATTACGATTTATAGTAAAAAATGTTTTTGGTAAAAAAAAAATGCATGGTGTAGTCTCCAACACTTACAAACAAACATATCCTCACACCCTCCTTCACTCACTCTCTCTCTCTCTCTCTCTCTCTCTCTCTCTCTCTCTCAAATTATGTTTTTCTTACAGTTAGTGTAAAATGACATTATAAAGTTTATCTCCCATTTAAAATTATGACATACTTGTAAATAGTTGACATTTTCCATTTACGCACTCTGCCCTATGGGAATCTGGGCAATCCGAATCCTGAAAACGAAACCAAAAGTAAATTATACATGATAAAGAAGTATCATGCATGAAGATAACATAAATCTCGTATTTTTCATGAATAAGGATGGTTTATCTCCATTTCAGGAATGGGAATGGGTGTTGTAATTTAATTTCAAAAAAGAATAATATTATACATTTGTACAATACATGTACATGTACTTATATTAAGGTGTCGGCTTTAGGCACAATGTCATTTTAACATGTACTCTCTTTGAAAAGATATACAATTATGGAATCTTTTGGTGTTGAATATGGTTTGTTATTCACCAGAAATATCAATATTGAAGGAGGCGAAACAGTTTTTATTAGTAACGTATACATGCATATGTATCACAAACATTTACCAAAAAAAAATGTAATAATTATTTCACGACTAATTATATACCCATTTTGTTACTTTTTGATTTTTGTGGTGGTTATACAGTATTTTGTCTTGATTTCCTTTTTTATCAGGAAATGATTTACATTTGCTATCACAAATTACGACTTATATGTTTTAATAGCATTTCATACAAAATATATTAAAAATTTTATTGCATCTTAAAGTTATTGAAACTTCAATTTTTGGGTGGGTTTGATTGACACATCCTTGCACTCTAAGAAATTTTACTTTTATTCTAAATAATTAGTAAATGTGGCAATCTTGTTGTGTATTAATGAAAAATATTAAGACTTAAATTCTTTTAAATTTGATTTTTAAAAATCTTTTTGGTGTCTGGAAATTTACAGAACATCAAGTTTGCGAGGTCATTATGAAGTATGTGCTTGAATATAATGTGTTTTTTCCAGGAGAATCAATTGGGTGATCGATCAAAAAAAATTCAAACAAAACAAATATGTGAATAGGAAATAAACACGAATCCCCTAAAAATTCATGGTGGGATCAGGTGCCAAGGAGGATACTTAAGAATGCTTGCTTTCAAAGGGGTTGTTGAAATTTCTGTAACATCAATTAATATGTCAGTAGCTTGCCTTGGTTTAAAAACAGAAAAAGGTAGAAGAAAGTCATCAAGAGCTAATCTGTAATGGGTCCGGGCGATAGTGTGCCTATTCCTATCACAGCTCCGGAGCATTTCCATGACGACTACTTAAATAGCGAGGGGACTATTCATTGATCCTGCAGGGCACATGTTTGCGCGAGCACAACTATATCTTTATAATTTAGAGGCATAAACATACGTTTGCCTCTATGGGAGGTACAAAATACTCTTTATTTTTTAAAAATCTATTGAAAAAAGAGACTCTGAGATGGTGAAAGACTTACCTTCCTTCTAGATATAATATTTAAAATTATTACATTGTAGAAATATATTGCAAACTAATATAACATTGTAAAATACCACTCAATTTTCTCATAATTATACGGAATTTATAAGTCTAAAAATGTATGATCTTTATGTCTTTTTTTTCAAAATATATTTTCTTTAGAAGAATTCTGTAATGGAGCTTAGCCAGGGCCCCATCCCTGGTAGCTGCTAGCTTATTAGTTCATTTAATAATTGTTAATGAGTAGGATCTGTGAAATAAGGATTGAAAAAAACCATAGGTTTGCCAGAAAATATGCAAGATTCGAGCGTTTTTGCAAATTCAAATTCATCTCAGAGGAGACTGGAGATATTGATTTCAGAGTTGAAAAGGTCATTTGCGAAAAGTGCTATGCTAGTACAACCCGGCGTATTCTTTAAAGACTTAAAAGCACTACCCTTATCAAAACTCAATTTACTTTCAGCTGTCGTTGAAGTACAGGAAGACCATAAAAAATCCATTTTTATTTTAAAGTTTTGCTTTCTAGCCGCAATGTTTACAGACTGATATTATACACACAGCAATGCATACACAATCGAAACAACACTTAAAATGAAGATTTATGCAATAAACAAAACAAATACATACATAAGTAATTTTGCTACGTGTTCATGTGACAAAATTTAGACACATGAACTAATAATTTGCGACAAAATGTATGCAAAAGATAATTTGCACCATATCCTGACCAGGTGTAAATTTACTCAACTGTGCAGAATTTGCATGTAAGCAAATCAGTTCATACGGCAAAAATTGCACATGTGAGTAAATTTACATATGAGTAAAATATACTGAGGTATGCAAATCATGTCTTATGAATGGGGTATAGACAGATATTTGATATTCAGTAATTTATCTTGTAGTACTTACAGATGTGCATTCTCGATCTGTAAAAACATAAAAAGCGAATATTTTAAGAAATGTTTCTTTAATATATGGTAGCATAAAATATTTACCTCGATAGTATACACTACTATAGCTATTATTATTAGTTATTATATATCTTTACACATCATGAATATATTGCTATAATAACATAAAATAAAATACCGACCTCTTTCGCAAAATCCGTTTGTACAGACGTACCCAGAAGAACAAGGGAGGTAATCTCTTCCATAACATAGTGCTAGTTTTATGAAAAAATATTAGTATAAGAAACTTATACAAGTAAATTTGTGCACCATTGTTCCAAGTCAGATGTTCAATCACTGCTTACCTGAAGGTGGCCACACACATCGACCATTTTCGCAAATGCTTCCTGGGTAATTTCTGCAATCCCTCTGCAAGAAAAATAGGGTAAATATATTTTATCATTTAAAAAGATTCTATAATGTGATAATGTGTGTTTTCCTTGTAACCCCTCTAATTCTAGAAACGCAATTATTTTGAATGTTTTAGAAGGCATTGTTTCTCCTTTGTTTACATTTAAAAAGACAACAACTACATTGTATATATACTTACAGATCTGCATGGAATAGAATCTGTAAAATATAAATGTTACATTTGTATCTCTTCTGAAAAAATATTCAGCACAGTTAGTTTCTTTAAAACGTGCATTTTAATGTTAGATTTGTTAAAAAAAAATTGCAAAGGTTTTCTTTGAATTTTTTTTTTTTTTTTTTTTTTTTGCAAAAAGTATGTTTTACTTGATAATATATAATAAAATCTAATATTATTGGCAGTCTCATAACCTTACACATCGTGAATTTATTAAATTAACACAAACTGCATTTTCTTTTATTACCGACCTCTTCACACAATTTTTGAAGAAGCAGCCTTGCTCAACATAACTATGTACTTGATTAGTTTATTTAACACATAGAAGCAGAGAAGATTTTCAAAGAAATAATGCATTTTCACTAGGGATGGGTATCGCCAAAAATTTCGTATCGCGATATATCAAGATTTCCCCCCCCTAAATATCACGATAATATCATGATATTTTTACAAGCAATTTTTACAATGATTTTTTAATGAATTGTCAATATTTTTCTTAAAAATGTGCTAAAAAAACAAAATTTCAGTTTTTTGAAATTTTTATGTACATAAAATTAATCATGTTTGGATGGTAAGATGCCGTTCTTTTCACCCTTTTTCAACATTTTTAGACTTTCTATAATTGTAATTTGAAAGATTGAACAAATAAATGAACAGTTTCTGGACTTTATGATATGTACCTAAATAACGGTATTCAGGTTTCCGTATCACGATACGTATCACGCAACAAAAAATCGCGATATACCGGTATACCCTGGGGCCATGAATTTCACAATTTTGGTGGAGGACTCAATGCTTATTACATTCATGCGAACAGTATGACTGCTTGATGTTCAGGAGTAAAAAAGAGGATTTTTAAAGACTGCATTAATTTTAGTAGTTTGTGCCCCACCCATCAGGCCACAGGGGGCAGGGACCATGAAATTCACAAATTTCTTTCCCCTTCACACGTATATGCTTCATGCCAAATTTTGTTGAAATTGGTTGAGGGGTTGCAGAGGAGGAGATGAAAATGTTAAAATGTTAACACACGACGCACACTGCCGCACGACGATGGACGAAAACGGATAGCAATAGGTCACCTGAGTAAAAAATGAATGGTACTGGCTAAATAAGGATTACAGATGATTGCTTATTGTATTATCTAAAGAAAAAATTGATATAGATGAAAACAATCACAAAAGTATTCCATTAGGATTTACAATAATTTTATTCATTCTTGCTAGGCTATCCTTTAATATATATATATATATATATATATATATATATATATATATATATATATATATATATATATATATATATATATATATATATATATATAGAAAAATAATCCAGAATTTGGAAAAGATGATCACATTTTATTCCAAAGCGCTTTCGCCATTCGGCTCTTCAGTGGATTTTGAATAACAAAATCCACTGAAGAGCCGAATGGCGAAAGCGCTTTGGAATAAAATGTGATCATCTTTTCCAAATTCTGGATTATTTTTCTATATGTTCATACCTATACCAAGGACATCTTAATTATATATATATATATATATATATATATATATATATATATATATATATATATATATATATATATATATATATATATATATATATATATAGAAGAGTAAAAATCCAAAAATATCACAAAACATTTACTGCAAGCGCTTTCTCCATGTTCGGCTATTCAGACAGTTATACATATGTCAGGTAGGTTACCTGATAACGTCAAAAGCATAAAGTTCATTGTGACGTCATAATAGATGTAGGTAGCGTTAAGTTGGCGTAATCGTTAATGTACAAATCTTGCACTAACTTTCACACATTATACAAATGAAATTTCAAAATATAAAATATATATAGTATCATTTGCGATTAAGTTTGGGTTTAAAGAGGTTGATAAAATAGTCTTCTTTTGCCAAACGTAAATTTTCGTTTTCATTTGGAAGTTTATAAAAAGGGAAAATCTTAAATATTCCTTTGCCACATTTTGCGAAATGTTCACAACACGGTGTATTACGCACACTAGGGTCTTTAATTTGCTGTTTGTGCACACGAACCCTGGCATTTAGTTTTCCCGTTTGTCCAATATAATATTCTTTACACGTCGGACAGATGGCACAGTAGATGACGTTTTCCGATTTACAGTTCATAGATGAGTTGGTTCGAATTTCCATTCCTGATTTAAGTTGGATTTTATTCCCCGCTTCTAAATATGTACACGTTCCGCATCTCGGATCTCCGCATTTTTTAATGGTTGGAATTTCCTCCTGTGTAGTAAAACGGGCCTTGGTCAATTAAGATTTGGTGCTTGTCGTCGACTGTTTATGATATCATTTGGTTGAACTAAACTTTTCATGTTTTCCGATTGTTCTAAAATGGGATAAAATCTTTTAGCGTCCATAAGCAGTGTTTTCAATAAGATTTTCAATAGAAGGAAAAATAGATGGAATAGCAGGAAACCAGTCTCGGCGAGGGGTCTGGGGGCCGCCTTAGGCCCCCAGCGGGTCCAGGGCAGAGCCCTGGTAGGGGGCCCAGGGGGGCGATACCGTGTTGTGAACATTTCGCAAAATGTGGCAAAGGAATATTCAAGATTTTCCCTTTTTATAAACTTCCAAATGAAAACGAAAATTTACGTTTGGCAAAAGAAGGCTATTTTATCAACCTCTTTAAACCCAAACTTAATCGCAAATGATACTATATATATTTTATATTTTGAAATTTCATTTGTATAATGTGTGAAAGTTAGTGCAAGATTTGTACATTAACGATTACGCCAACTTAACGCTACCTACATCTATTATGACGTCACAATGAACTTTATGCTTTTGACGTTACCAGGTAACCTACCTGACATATGTATAACTGCCTGAAGAGCCGAACATGGCGAAAGCGCTTGCAGTAAATGTTTTGTGATATTTTTGGATTTTTACTTTTAAATATACCAAAAACTGTACCGATTCTTCATTTTGTTTTGAAACTATATATATATATATATGTGTATGTGTGTGTGTGTGTGTGTGTGTGTGTGTGTGTGCGTGCGTGAAGGGTATCAAACGGGGACATTTGTTTGTTTACACACCTTCCAACCGGGGACGACCTTCCAACCGGGGACGTCCCGGTTGTCTCCGATTAAAAATTGCGCCAAATTCGAAATCAGGGATGTCTAATTACCCCAAAAAGCCGAAAAAATCCATTTTTTAACATGTTGAAAAAATGTCCCCGGTTAGTTAGGATTAAAAGATGTGTGTTAGTGTGAACTTTTCATAATGAGCGAAGGTTCGTTCTTGGGGGTTACACACGTGTCCCCGGTAGTATAGTGAAAAACGTGTCACGTGACCTTTTCTGAAACAAACATTACCTTTAGATATTCCCTTTCTTATTTTTAAGTCCGTGTTTTTTTTTTTAAATGTTAAAGTTACATATACTATGTTACGTTACTAAGGTATGATCATCAGACAGTCTGACAAACATTCGTGTCTATGGAACATCAGGATTATAGATGTACGATTGACGTAGTACTTACGCATGTAAATTTAGTTTCTTAATAGAGCCTATAATTTTTTAAGGAATGAAGGTTATTTAAACTTATGTTATTCGAATAATTCGATCATTCTAACATAACTTGGGGCAGTTTGCACGTTATAAATCACGCAGTTTTGCAGTTTGATGATAAGCAGTCGCGATACATTCAGCATAATTCATAGGCGTCAAAAGCAAATTAAACAGGGGGAGGGGGGTCTAATATTGAAATGAGGCTAATCCCCAATAAAACCGTAAACCCTATTTTCAATGCCCACATAATGTATATCTTTGCAAAAAAGTGGAGGACTCGAGCCAATAATTCGAAATAATATTGTTTATATTATGTTAGAATTCTGCAGTAGGGTAGATTTTCTTGAGCTTAAACATAATTCTTGATTTAGTGACAAAATAATACTCATTTTGATAAATATGCTTAAGTATAATTCGCATATTTAATTAAAGAATTTCCTGTAAATATACATTTCACCAGAATTGAAAGTTGTCATGCATTTTTTTGTGGGGGAGGGGGGATAAGAGCGGGGTTGGGGTTAGAAAGTTAAAGCTTACAGTGTTTTACCATTTTATTTCTAAGCTGTTATTTGAATAGCTAAGGATGGTAGATATATCCATATACATGCATGAGATTCCTACAACGTGCCTTGTAATAGTAGTGTGGCAAATGCTAATAACTGCAGAACGGTAGTTATCCGAAAATATATTTTGACAGACTGGAGAGCTACAGTCCCATCCATTGTGAAAACAGTATATTTATTGCCTGGACAAAATGCAGTGCTTAGTTCTGAATTTTTTCTTACTATTCTTTTTACCTCAACAGCAAAAAAAAATTGTCTTTAAAAACTCTCGGACAAATGTAGGTGACATCTGCAAAAAGTGCGTTGGACCAAATTATCTTGCAAACCAAATTGAAAGTATAAATAGTTGAAATTTTTGATGATCACAGGAGGGCTATTAACAACAATAAAATTTAAAAATTAAGCTTTGACAGTCTGAGATTTCTGAAGGGTAGAGATACTGGAAGGAATGTAAAAATATCAATAAATGCCTCGCTTCATGAAACGAAATGTTTAATGTGGTGTTGAAGAGAAGGCGGGG